TTATATTCGAATGTAAAAATGTATGTTTTTATTTTTGTGTGTAGGTTTGTATGTAGGTCTTTTCTTATGTATGTATGTATTCATGCATGTATGTATGTGTGTATGTATCTTTGTTTTTATGTAAATATGTATGTATGTATGTATGTATGTAAGTATATATGTGTATGTATGTGTTTTTATATGTAAGATTGTATGAATGTCCTTATTCAAGTATTTATATGTGTATGTATGTATGTATTTATGTAGGAAAGTATGTATGACTATTCTTTGTAATTATACATGCAAGCCAAGTAAGTTTGCAAATTATGCAGATGTATTTGTGTTTTTATGTGTATACAAGTATGTGACTTTATAAGTTTTGTGCTTGTATGTATGTTTGTGTGTATGTGTAATCGCTTATTGTATTTTGATTAAAAATTTTTATATAACTCAACCCAAATCATCTTTCTTTTTATGTTTTTAGAATTTTCGAGAATAATCAACATATACTATAATGATAGTCTTTTTCAATTTCTTGATTTGCAAAACAACCTTAAAAATATTTTGAAACATTTTCCCGAAATATTTGATTGTAACAAAAAAGATCAGTTTTCAAGAGTTCACAAAAATTTGTCACTTGAAGCAGCAAGCAAAAAGACCAAGTGGCAGCAGCATGAAGTTCAAAAAGGTTTATGAACTGTTGCTCATATAGATAATGGTTACGATAATCAAGTTATCAGAAAAAAATGGTTTATTGAGGAGAATCCTTGATCGTGCAGATGAACGTGATCAGTAGAAGATTGGTAGAAAATGACATGCTGCTGGTAAACTTGAAGACGATAACCTCTAAAAATAGAAAATATTAAAATGGTTTTTACTTGCAAAATCATCTTATTAAATTTAATTTCTAAATCGTGAGAAGTGAAGTAATTGTGTAATTAGATAAACAGTCAGTAGACACTTTTTTCTAAAGTCAAAATTTAGTTAGTTCATAAAGTTTTTTATGCTAATGGCTCAAAATGCTTACGAGTGTTGTCTTTGAAATTAATATCAAGTCTGTCTACATTGAGGCTCAAAACTTTAATTACTCAAAGTAAATTTCCAAACTTAATTCGTAGAAGAAAACATAACAAACCTTATTTTCGTAACTTAAATATGTCTTTGCTAGTCGTTCCAGCTTAAGATAACACAACGTAATGGACGTTTATCGAAATGAATTGAAACCAAAAAATGGCACTTACATCATTTCAGAAACTGCTGTAGCTCTACATTGAGGCTCAAAACTTTAATTACTCAAAGTAAATTTCCAAACTTAATTCGTAGAAGAAAACATAACAAACTTTTTTTTCATAACTTAAATATGTCTTTGCTAGTCGTTCCAGCTTAAGATAACACAACGTAATGGACGTTTATCGAAATGAAATGAAACTAAAAAATGGCACTTACATCATTTCAGAAACTGCTGTAGCCGAATTGTTGTGAGAATCCAAAAGTTCAGGCAGATTGTTGATGAGAGGGTTTGATTTTTTATTTTCCAATTTTAAACAACGAAGAAACTTTCAAAAACAAGACTTGATAATAGAGAAGAGGAATAACGATACAAAAACGAGAGGACATATCATGATGCTAACTGTTTTGATCCTGCTGGTGACAAGAGCGTGAATACGAAAGCTTGGCTCACCTCAGACATATATTGAAAGAACGGTCGAACTCTTAATTACACATCTTCTTGTAGGTGAGTAGTCATATATTTGGTTCAAAAAGGCACTGTATATAGAAAGGCAATGGCGTGATCAGGGAAACAGACAAAAGATCATATTTAGATTAAGAAACTCAAAATTTAATTTGTTGAACAAAGGGTTAATATATGATAAAAACTGATAGCGCTCCAAACATTTGAATAGAAAGCTCTAGATAAAACCAATACGACAAACTACAAGATTTTTAGAAAAACTGACAATATTGTAGTATCAAAGTAAACAGTTATTTAATTGTATATTTTTTAATGGAAAAAGCAAAAAATTTGGACGATCAAAGTGTAATCCCGAATTCATGTCATGTTTTGAGCTTACATCCATAACTTGTCTTTGGTTGTGTTCCAGCTTTCCCGATTGAGTTTGCTTCAAATTGATTTTCTGATTTCCCTCAAGGTCGCAAATAAGTTTTCAACTGCTTTGTTCGTTAGTCACTCTGTTTTGTCGTTTATGTTCACACATAAGCAACAGTTTTTCCCCTGTTTTTAGGTTCGTTTTAATGAACATTTGCAAAAACTCTGATTGCACAAAGTTAATAAGACATACTGAACGTTTTCTAGAGGACTTGAAAAATTTTTTCCTTCTTTCATTATAAATAGTGTTATGCGCGAATTTTAGTCATGTGGACACGGAAATTGGAAATGTCGAATCTTTCAAGCAAACGTCATTATTTTAGAGTTTTCAGTGTTTCATAATTTTTCCGTGTTTTTTACCTTCGTTTGGCGTAAAAAAATTTTTCAATCTAATTTCGTCCAAATTGATTAATAGTTTTTGCCTAAAAAGGGTTGGCGGCCGCCACACTTGACGAGTTTTTCTTTCTTCGCATTTCAGCAATAAAACATGCGTTTTGGAAGAAAATCGTTCACCGCCGCCAACATTTAAGCTATGCTGCCAAAATTTTGTGCTTTCGTATATACCACATAGTTTGGTTGCATTAGGTTCAATTGTTGCATATAATAGGTATCTAACGTCATTTTACATGTAAACAAGCCAATACCCCCAAATTTTAGAAGGGAAAACATGCACCAACCAAAACTTATTTCCATTCCCTTTTCCATAGAGTGCCCGAAAAATGACCAATTTTAACCCCCTTAGAACATGTGTTCCCGAAAAAGTAGGAGCTTTAACCTCTTTGGGGGTTACAAGTGGTCAGTACAACTGCACACCGAAAAAGGGGGGGGGGGTTAAAAGTGGTCATTTTCCCAGCCACTTTTACTATACTACTTGTTATTGTGAAAAAATCTATTACTTACGCCTAAACTTGGATGCGGGATTTTTCTTTTAGACCGACCTTTATGATAATCAATTATTCTATAAAATATGGGGCGATATGCTAGCATTGAAGTTAACGAATGTTTAAAAGGAGTGTCTCCTTTCCTTCTCAATAACAAAGCGTTGTTTGATTACACTACCAAGGAAAGTAACAGTGTAATTATGGTTGGTTTGTTTTTTATTCAGATCAGTTTCGTCGATCGAAATCAGAGTTTTATAACATAAAAGTTATCCACACCAATGAATAAATTGACTGCTTTAAGAAAATTCGAAAAGACATTTCACGAAGATTTTTTGTTCATTTCTGGGGGCTTGTAAATTGCCAATTCAGATAACTTCTTGAACTAACTTATGTGTGCTGTTAAGAACTTTTCAATGATGTCGAGAAAGTAGCGCGATTTATTCGCAGTCTAATTTATTCGAAACTTATTTGAGGCAACCTAATTTGTTACAACTCAGTTCATAATTTTTATAATTAGCTGTATAATATTTGTTAGTGTGAGTGGAAAACCCAAATAAGTTCAAGTTTTCAAGGATATTAGTTCAAAAAAAAAACAGCCATTCAAGGCCAGCTAAGGGACAATCACAGCGCTCAGGTTTTTGCCCTAAATGATCGCAGCCTTGTTGGGATTCAGTTTTTATCTGTGATAGTTTCTCATTCCCTACGGGTATATCATCCACCCGCAGCAAGTTAATCCGCACTTTAAACATTTAGAGCTAGAATTGAGGACTCATTGGTGGACTTATGTAGTCTATAACTGATGCTCATGAGAAGAAACCAATGCTGAGGCCGCTTTAGGGGGAAGCGGGCTGAAGCAGTCCTTGCATTGAAGTTTTTAAAAACAACGACAATTCAATCATTTGATTTAACCCGAGCATCCATGATTAATGAAGAGATTACTTGACAGTTATTTCAGTAAATGATTTAAAATATCCGCATATAATTGATGAAACAGTAAATTTTCTCGATTTTTGATTAATTTCAGTAAAACAGCGCTAGAATCAAAGTTTTTTGGTACAATGCTGATAAAAATTATCCGGACTAAACGAACAAATTTTGAAATTTCAAACGCGTTTTTCTTTATTGGTTGAAATTAGACAAAAAGTAAAGAAAGCAGAAGTTGCTTAGATTTTCACCAGAATTAGTATAATACAATTTTCCCCGAAATTCTCAACCAAATTTTAACCCAAAAACGGGTCATTTTGGCTTATCGTAATTAATCGAGAATTATGCTGAAATTACTAGACTAATTGATGAGTAACTTCAATCAAAAAAGCCCCTTACAGAGCCCAGCAAAGTTCTAAAAGGGTAAAATTCCAAAAATTTGCGTAAAAAGTTTGAAACTTGACTTGAACGTTTTTTAGCTATCAATCAAAATTGATCTTTTGATAAAGAATTTTCTCATTAATTAACTTGGTAGTTCGTGCGTAACTCTTGATTAATTAGAAAAAGATAAAATGACCCATGTTTGGGGTAAAATTTTGGTTGAGAGTTTTGGAGGAAAATTGCACTATATTAATTTTGGTAAAACTCTGAGAAACTTTTGTTTTCTTTTTTTTGTCTAATGTTAACCCAATTTAAGAAAAACGAGCTTAAATTTCCACAGTTTCCCAGTTTTTGATTTCTTCCATTTTAACAAAACTTACGCAAAACAATTACGTTTTCAAATGAAACCAGCTGTCAATCATTTATTTTTGAGAAATAACAAGCATCTACAACAAAAAAATTGTTCCGGTGAGGTTTATTTTTTTGTTGGCTACGAACTACAAAACAGACATTTTATCTAGTAAAATTCCTTTTCAAATTTTGGCATAAAAATTGTTTTTTTATTTTTTTTTTTTTTTATTTTCCATAAATTTGCTAAATAGGCGACTTATCGCATAGTAAGTTTTCACGAAATTACAGCAATTTTGCATAATTTTCAGCAAATTGAGCTAAAAACGGAAGAAATTTCATAGTGAAAATCTAATAATTTTAAAAAAAACTTTGTCGGACATGCTTTTTTTTGTAAAATTATCCCAAATCGAGAAGAACTTTTTTTTTCTGATATTTTGGCCGAATAATTTAAAAATCAGCTTGGTAGATATTTAGTTGAAGTCAATGTTGAGTCAGTGGTTTTTGAGGCTGTCAGTTATTACACCTGGTGTTGCTATTTTTAACGTTCAAGATTCTGCTTGGTGCAATTCGGTGATTTTATGGCGTCAGTGCGGAGAATCTCTAAAACACACGGAAACCACAAAGTTTTATCCAATCGCAGGTCGGGCTCTATCTGTTTGCTAAAAATTTTCAGGCGAAAATGAATTGAAACCTATAGGCAACACTTGAGCGAGAAGTTATAATGATGATAAAAGTTATTCTATGAAAGTCATCAATTTAGAAGCCACCCGCACTCAGTAAAAGGAGAAAGTAATCAGTTTTACAACAGTTAGAACTGTAGTTTTATCAAAATTATAATTAAATGTAAGTTTCCAATTTCGATCGATGTTCAAATTAAAACGTTTAAAATGAAATTATAACAAATAATAATCATTTATAATCATTTGAAATTTTCTGAAAAATACCTCGATTAAATAAATTAAATTCCCATATTTTGCAAAAATGTTACCAAACCAAAACTAACTTTTATTTTAGATCATCATTTTGCTTTGATTATAATTTTGCATGAAAACTCAAATAAATAATTCAGGTTAAACTCTGATCGAGGTCATCGACTTAAGAAAAAGTTTTTTAACTCGTGCAAGTGGCGGGCATACTCTTTAGACTTTGAGAATTGCGCCGCGGATTTTGAGGTTTTAACATTTTTTATGTCGCGCTGTTCGCGCCGTGATTTTTTCAGTAGCGTCGGTCTTGAATTGCCAAGTTTCGGTCGCGTTGGCTCCAAATTGACAAAACAAAGTCGCGCCAGACAGATTTGCCAATTTTACGTCGCGAAGGTCTTTCTTTAATTTGCATCAATTGTCAACCTTGCGTCAAGCTATTTTTAAGTCGAATCAATTGCTAAATTTGGGTCGCCCCCGTATTTTCTTAGGTCGCATCTTCAGTCACAAAAAAAATCCGACCAAATTTAAATCCTTCACCCCAACTGGACCAAGTGAAGATGTTGCTCCTTTAATATTTAAATTTGAATAATGGTGGCCCAGCGTTGCGTGTAAAAAGCTCGATCATGGTTGATGGAAAGTCCTGCTTTGAACCAAGTTAACATCCTCCCCCTAAATTGCTTCAGGAGGGAGAGTGTTAAATTGGTCCAAAAATTATATGTACCGATACAATGGCAATTATTTTGTTTTTTTTTACACTTGAAAATGCATTATAGTTTTTTCTGAAAAGTTTGAAAATCAGTTAAGAATTTTGTCATAATCAATTATACCAACTATAATTGAATAAAAATAATTTTTAAACTTTTAAAAACTTCAAAATTTTAATAAGTCTTTAAGTGAACATAATCAATTATATGATGATAATAGTACAAAATGTATGATATTATTATACACTTGACTATAAATTATCTTTTTCAAGTTTCCAAGTGGTTTCCGATCTGAGGCGCTTTGAAAAAAAAACATAAAGCCTCAAAGGTACCAATTTTAAAAAATTGAAAAATAAAACAAAAAGTTTATTTGATATACTTTTTGTTTTATTTCTACAGCATTATTTCTACAGCAAAACTTGGCTGTACTGCTTAAAATATATTTAACTCTTCTAGTACGTTCTGATCAAATGGGACAGTACAACACTGCCAAACTACAACAGTGCCGAAAGAGAAAATGTTGTTTAACAGTGCCAAAACTATTTTGAGTACCGTTTTTACTCCCAAATAACTGACAATTAAATTAATTCAAATTGACGGAAGTTGAAAAGTCAAAAAAGGCGATTTTAATTGATGCCGCTTGTTAATCAAATAATAGTTATTCAAGCGGCGTCATAAAATTTGCGGAACAAATAATTATCAAAATTTCAAAATTTCTTCTCGGTTCCACTCCAAAACAAAAGTATTCGAGCAAATTGCCTCACATTTGCAAACAGAACTCAAAGTTTTCAAACGTCCTCAATTCTCGGCAGTGTTTAACACATTTTCAGTTTGGGCACCGATGTATTCCGGCACTGTTGAAAGCTTCCGGTCAAATAACGTTTAGCTAAGTTTGAAAAACTCTGCGCATGGGGTGCGGTTTGTAAAGAGACAATCGCGAATTCATACTCGTCAGTAAGTAGTCAAAAACTATATTAAACAATCAGAATCCAGATTAGAAAGCAAACTTACGAAAATAAAATATTGTCAAGGTAAGTTTGCTTTCTCATCTCGATTCGACGAAATGCAACAGCTCGCAACAAAAAATAACTCGGAACAAAAGAAAACTCGCATAAAAGGACAAATCGCATAAAAGGGAAGCTCGCACAATACTCACCACTGTAGTATACTTAAACAAAGCATATTTGCCTAATTTAGCCTCAAACTGTCTCTTTTTTCCCGCCATTTTCTGCACTGAACTTTCATAAAAAGAATATCGACCGCGTTTTGTTTTGTCATTTGATTCGCATTTTTGCATTTTCCTAGCTTGATATAAAAGCTCGCGATTTAAGCCTTGCCTTTCTGAGTATCAATAAAATTCGTTTACAATTTTACAGTTTTTATCATTGGGTGGAGGGTAGGGTTAAAAGACCGCAAAGACCTCAGTTATGTTAAAATGACTTGCCCTCGTAATGGTCGACGAGCTCCTGAGCTCCTGGATAGCCCTTCCTCAGTCGTTTTTCCTTCATCGCGGTCAGCTGATAATAGTTTTGGTTTTTCCAGTCCAGCCTGCAGGTTCCGTCTTCAGGCAACTGCACGCCATACATCAGCGCAGAGTTCCACGCTTCCAGGTTCAGCGCATAGACATTGCGGTCTACACAAAATTACGACTATATTTTGATCGATAAAATACTTATGATGGTGAGTATATATAGTTAAGTCAACTAAATGTATACTCACTACGCCGTCCCTGACCCTTCGAGCCAGCCCAAGCCCACCATCGGATAGCACATTTGCTTTTTAAGACCGACATGGAACAATATTTTCCTGGCTGATGAAAGGTGAACACAAGGGGAGTACAGTACAATTGAAGGTTAATGAAAAATTTCCGTCTTCGTAGCTTTGCAAAAAAAAACCACGCAGAACGAACAGTTTGAACAAATGCATTAATGTGCATTTTTTGCATTAATATCGCTTCGTTTGTGTGTCAAAACCGTTTTATGCTTTGGTCACCTCTGTCAATTTCAGCTATGTTTTTAATTTCTAGAGCAAAAAAATTGTGCTTGACTATGCTCGCTTTTGAAGCAACTGTCAATTGATATTTCTTATACGAAAAATTAAAACAAACTGTAGTTTATACTTTTTGGGTATTCTCACGGGGTCACATCGGCTAATTTCAGGTATGTTTGGAATTTCTCGAGCAAAAACAATTCTGCTTGACCTTGTTCTGCCCACTCTTGGACTGCTTGACTTTGCTCGACATTGTTTCGATGTTTAATTTATAATTATCTAAAATTTACGAAACCACACGAAACTCAAAAAGTTATACTTTTGGGTAACATCTCGGGGTCACCTCGGCTAATTTCAGGTTAGTTTTGAATTTCTGGAGCAAAACCGTGTGCTTGACCTTGCTGTACCCAAAATTAAGCTCGATTTCGCTCGACATTGTTTCGACGTTCAATTTATAGTAATTATCCGAAACTTAAATTTATACTTTTGGGTAAAATCTTGGAGTCACCTTGGCCAATTTCAGGTAAATTTTGAGTTGAGTTTCTAGAGCAAAAAATTGCATTTGACCGACCTCTACTCAAATTTGTGTTTGACTTAGCTTGTTTTTGTTTTGTCATTCAATTGATATTAAATTCCATGAAAAAAATTTTAGTTTAGATTTTTTAAAGTAAAATCCCAGGGTCGCCTCGGCCAATTTCAGATTTTTGTTTGATTTTCTGGAACAAAAAACAGTTCTCGATTTTGCTGTGCCAAAGTTTGTACTTGCCTTTGCTCATTTTGTTTTAAAATTTAATTGTATTTAATTATAAGAAAATAAGAAGAACTATGGTCATTCATTTTGTATAACATACCAGATTCACCTCGGCCTATTACAGTTTTGTTGACTTTCTAGAGCAAAAAGTCGTGCTTTTTAGAGCTCTACCAAGTTGGTGCTTGATTTTCCTCTACTTTGTACTGACGTTCAACCCATTGTATATATCCAATATTTAACACAGATGCGAAGCTGCGTGTAACCTTCCATTTAACATAGGAAATGAAATGAACTGAAAATTAAATCAAAAACCAAACAGCAAAAAGTAAATTTGAGCCTGAACAAATTTTAGGACTTTTCCTGAAAAAAATCATCACGACCTATGAAAGAAATTGAAATACGTTCACTGACTCTTAACAAGAGCTAAGCGATAGCTGCAAAAATTATCTCAGAGGTGAAGCTGTGCTTCTCAACAATTTGGGAGAGCCTGACCAAAAAGCAGCTCTAAAAAAAAGTAGACTAAAGCTCGAATTAGCAAAAACTCGGCTAAGTTTCGGTTCCGAATTTGCTACCTACCAAATTTGGGTCTACCTACCTCGGATGCCTAAAATGCCCAAACATTTGCAACCAATAACGCAGCTTTCTGACACAATTTTCTGAAATCGGAAAGTTTCTGAAATTGAGATTTTTATCATGGCACTGCTGTTTGAAACAAATAATTTTTTTTGGTGGATTTGATGAAATAAAAACGCATCCACAGTATTAGCGTTTTACTAATCAAATTTCAAAGCACATATGATATTAGACTGCTATCGCAGCCTACCGATTCAAAACTTCCACCAAAAGTAGTACTTTTGTTAGTAACTAAGGTTGAAAAAATAAAAAGTTCATAATAATACACTTTGCTTAGCAAGTGTAAACAACTATTGCTTATACGTTTATATCACGCGGTCACATCGGCCAACTTGAAATATGTTTTGAATTTCTAGAGCAACAAAATTGTGCTTGAACTTGCTCTGCCCAAATCTGTGCCGAATTCTGCTCAACTTTATTCAACGTTCAAACAATATTAATTATCCATCCAATAAATAAAGAAAATCAGTTGTACTGTTTGCTTAAGTTCATTGGTGTTTTTTAAATCAGAATGAAACAATTACTGTCATTCCGATTTCAAATACTTTCTAGATATAATCTTCTTTTTTGATTGTCCTTTTCCATCCTATAAAATTCATGTTTTTCATTGCTGCAAAAATTAGTGATATGTTTTGGTCATGCTGCAGCTACTGTTTAGATATAGTCTATAATTTGAATTGTCCTTTTCTATCTTATAAATTTTATTTTTTTCATTTGCTTCAAAAATTAACGATACAATTTGGTTATGCTGCAGATACTTTTCGGCCGCGCTCAAAGTTTCTTCTGATTGTGATTGATTGTTTCTTGAGGTTTCAATCGTAATCGAGGTATGTTTCGAATTCTTGCTCAGTCCAAATCCATGTCTGAACTAGTGTTTTAATTTAGCACTGATTTTGTGCTCGACTTTAAAAGTCAATACACAAAGTGAGCACATTCGGCTCTTAGATACTATTTTTTCTCTGGATTTTGTCTGACTTATTTTCTGGCAACATCATTGGCGCTGTAACATGACATTTGTTCTGTTGATTAATTTCATTTTAAGCTTTGAGAGTAACTCTTCACCATTCAGTCATTCGACGATGAAATTCAATTGATTGGTCGTATTTTTTTCTAAAGCAACTAAAAATTGATTGCTCGATACTTAAACTAGAAGACAAAAGTAAGCGCAAATTCAGGATTTCACTCTCTAAAATGCCTGTTTTCAGTACCCATTTTGGACAACAATCTTTTCGAAATTCAGTACAATTTTTACTTAGCCTAAGAGCAAATGATCAGAGCTAACATCTATGTAAATATCAAAATTTGGTTTCAAAGACTTACCTACGGAATCCGGGCCTGAAAATTCCAGTTTTCCTTGTCTGCACTTATTTTTGCATCGTAGTGAGTTCTTTCTCAAATAAGCGGAATAAAAAAATTGTTCATCGTACGACGTGAAACATTCACAGCTAGAAAATGAAAACATTTAGCTTGAAAACTGTACTAATTTTGGACGCTTCATACTTTTTCACGCCAATTAAAAAGTTTAGTGCAAATGAGGAAAACTGGCATTTTCAGGCCCGGATTACATTGGTAAGTCTTTGATACCAAACTTTGATAGTTTTATAGATGGTAGCTTTGATTATTTGCTTTTCGTCACTGTAAAAGTTTACTGAATTTCGAATGAAATAGTGTCCAAAATGGATTTTGGAAACAGGCATTTTAGAATGTAAAATCCTGAATTTGCGCTTAATTTTGTACACTAGTGAAATAATGACAGTACAGAATTTGTATTTTATCCAGAGACAGGTCTTTAAACATGTCAAAATTTTGTCGGGACGATCAAAGAGAATGAAATAACAAAAGAAGAAGCAAGGTAGCGTTTTTGGTGCGGTATCCGCTTACAATACACAAAATCTACAGTTTTGCCTCGTAATTAAAATTTTTTTATCAGAAACTATTGGAGACCCGCTAAAGGTCGGCCTTCGGAGCATTCAGGGCTTTGCATAAACTTGATTTGTTTGATTAGGGAATCAATTGAGACCAGGAATTGTAATTTTTAGCATATTTCAGCATATTATCGCCGCCGATTCCGGCGGAAAAACTGCGTTTTTGGCAACAAAAAAGTGTTTTTCGACAATCATCAGTTTTTTCGAGATTAAACCAGCATTGTGTTTTCCAACATCGGTTTGGCAAACAATCTCCTCTAAAATGGGGGACGGTTCAAAATGTGATCAAGTAAGAAACAAAACTTGGCCTGCAAAACAACATAAGACTAGCCTAGATTTCAAAGCAAACACTCCAGCTAGTTTATTTAGATAAATCATTGCAATTTTCACTTGAAACTGAAAAGATCCCCCCTTTGCGGTTTTATTTCCCATTTGTGATAATCTTCTTTTTTCGGCGCGAACAGGTATACTTTTGGCACTTTTTGGCATTTCGGCTGAGCCGAAAATTACGATTCCTGGTTGAGACATCCACGAACAGCGAAAAACGAACACAGGACGACATTAAGAACTAAACATTTTTGAGATAGAATTAAGAATTAAAGAAAATTATCTAAGACTTGTAGATTTCTTGACTTATGACCAAAACTACCAATCTATGAAAGTGAAGAAATTTCAACGTATCACAATCTGGCAAAGATGTATAAAAAAGAAACAAAACATTACGAAAATTGTTGTTGCCAAGCGTAATGAATGGATTGAAGAGTTGGGCTTATCGACGAAACCAAATAACAACATCTAAAAAAGTTGCTCGATCAATCAAGAAATAAACAAGCTCAGAATTCGTTTCAAGATGGACTATATAATTTTATAATTCTGACCAGTATATCACCAACACATTAAAAATATATTGTACATTTTTTCGCCTAAAAATTGCGCTCAAAAAAGAAGGACATCTCTGAAGCCATTTTGCAACAAGAAAAGTGAGACACCGCCAGCGAAAGTTTCTCTGACTCGGCAGTTATTTGATCTTAGGAGTAAACACATGCAACGCCTTCAAGCTTTGCAATCGAAACCAAGGAGCAAAATGTATGCCTCATTGATGAATAATTTAGTTGTAGGGTGGATAATATTTACACGGTGCCATAAGAAAACATAAGACAACTGTGGTTTTATGTGTTTGCTATTTTATGAATAGAAAGGTCTGACTTCATAATGGAACAGTAAAAGTGACTGACGCCTGCAGATGACCCAGTTGGGGAAGGAGCAAGTGTAGTCGTCCAGACCCTTGCCTCTGTCCCAGCTCAGCTCCTCCATGCTGAACTCTTTCCTGCACACACAAGCCTCTCCTCCTTTCGCTCCCAGAACTAAATACAAGAATAAATGTGAACGATCGAGAGGCACTGCTGAGTGTAAATGCTTTTCATCCGAGAGCTTGTTTGCTCGAGGGGGATTTGAGTGTGCAATCCCCCCCCCCCTAAAGAGTGAACTGGATACAATGTTACAGCAGCATGTTATATTTGAAACGAAAAGAAAAATATGGTGTTACAACTGTTTTGAGATACAACTTTGAAAAGTTCAGATTCACAGCTGCGTTTCTTCGAGATCTACCGTGGGTAAAGCTCTTTGTTGAGACACGATGAGCCATTTCTCGGCCCAGAAAGTTTCGATTAATACCAGTTTTTCTCTAGACTGAGAGAAATTTTTTGCAATTTTTATTAGTAACCAAATAACGACTAAAAGGGCTAGAAAATAAGCATCCAAGTCCAAAGCTCCTTTCCACTCTTCGAGTGGCGGGAACAACAAATAAATTATGAAACAGAAAACTGAACCCTGTGTTTTTTTGCACTCACTTCGGTCATCTGGTTGTCTAGGGGCGAAAAAGCTCGTGTTCATGGGGCTGCCTGTGTACAAATTGATGTAGGGGTTGGATACATCGCCGAAGAAGCGCACGTAGCCAGTCCAGAAGCCACTCTGCTGCAGGTAGGCAGGGTTGAGGAGCATCCTCTCCTGATATTTGTCCCAGAAATAGTTTCGCAACACTTGCTATCACAAAAAGAGCTCTCAAATTTTGATTAAAAATAACATGAAAATGTCTCTGAAAAAGTTATGAAAAAACAATTCCACCATTTTGAAAGTGAATATTTCATATGCGAAGCCCAAAATGATAATTAGACAGAAAAAGCATGAATAATAAGGGTAAAGCCAGTTTCACTACATTTTTAAGCGACAGATCAAAATTCATCCAAAGTTTCACCGTCAAAATCTTAATTTTATCATCATTAGAACAAATACAGAGACTTTGGGCAATTAAGTTGTGGTCACCTAAGTTTGGTTCCCCAAATTCATCTCCTAGTTTGGTTATATTTGTACAAAGTCAGCCCTCCTCTCTTAGGCCAATAATCAGTCCTGCCTACGCCACAGACTTAAGAACAAAGTCTATTTTCCTAAGACTCTCTTGATCACGATAGGAAAAAATATCCTGGCAAACATCTATCTATTTTTTAGCAACAATAGTAGATGAATGGTCGATTTGAACCAGTCTTGTTTGCAATGGCGGATTAAGGGAAGATGAGGGGAGAACTACCAAAAAGGGATTCGACTACCCAAAATTTCCCCCGTCGCCATCAATTTACTGCATCAATTTTAGTTCGACCAGCTTTTGGTGCCATTTTAACTTGAGAGGTGGAAGCGCGCTACAGAAAAAGTCGCAAAAAATCCCTAAAAATTTTTAATGGCCCGTTTTTTTCAAAAGTAATTGCGGAACAACAAAAAATGTGAAAGGATCTTTCTAGTATTTCAGTTGAGCTCGGAATTCTAGCTTGATTGAACTGGGGAAAAGTTCCGATCGACCAAGGATTTTTTTCAAAGATTCCTTTAGATCTTCCCGGATGCCGCTTTGGTGCTCGTTAACTTACATCGTCGCCCTTGTTGTCAAAAGTGACAACAGTAGAGCCTCCCTCGTACCCACATGCAGTCACTGCCTTGTCTTGACTCACTGGACCCAGCTCAATCAGCATTTTGTAGCAATGGGGCAGACCTAGCAAAGTTCATTCACCATGTCTCTTTTTACTTCACAAATTGCTTGTTCACATTGTTTCATTTTAATGACAGCTGGCATTAGAGCAATAAACCAAATCCAAAGATATATACAAAGGTTTCATACGCATCCTTAGCAACCACTGCTTTGCTGAATAAAGTTAAAATGTTGAGTGATGTGATTAGGAAAAGAAAGAGGAAGCCGACTTCCCATTATGAAATATCAAGTGAAGTGTGAAATCTAAATTATATGCTGACTTTTCACAGGAAAAAGCTGTGAAATGATACGCCTTCTTTCCAACCAACATGTTTTTTCAGGCTTGGTCCTAAAATTTTTAAACTTGTTATTGTTCTCACCTGCAACTTTCTCAAATCCGTCCAGGCATTCTGTAACATATGCTTGAATAGATTTAAATCAATCTTTTGGAATTAATCCTACAATTACAATCTTCATGCAAAATAATAATATATTTTATAAGGTTTCATAGGAAACTGGGTCCTGACACCCTCCACATCCGAGAATTTTTCTGAACCGCTCCTAAGTTAGAATCATTTTCAAGATTTTATGAAGTTTTTAAAAATATAAGTGTTTCCCAATCTGGTTGTTCATAAAGTTTATTTATCATTGTTCTAATCAGTCCATTAGCACCAGATCGCGAAACATCAGAGGTTTGTAAGACCTGTCGCGTGATGTCTCACTCAAGCAATCTGCGAAAAACTCCAGATGCGTACAACTTAAGTATCTATTTTCAAGTTCTCTAGATAAAACACGATGCGCAGTAAAGCAGCTGAATCAAAGGTACGTTTTGTGTTGAAAGTATTGACGAATTGTTCAAAATGCTTTAATTAGGTCCGCGTTGCCATGGATTTACAGGGCGTTTCAAAAAAAAAATTTCTTCTAATACAAAGTATTACTACTTTTAAACAAACCAACATACTTGAAATTTGGACACTTAGAGATAAGAGAACCGCATTTTGTAAAATAACAGTATTTGGCTAGTAAACTCGCTTTTGATTGTTTCCGTGAATCTCTTTGTAATTTGCATAGGTTGAGGGGGATGAATTTAAAAGGCATTCTAAATTATTTGTTGTTTTTTTTTCGGTTATTTCATCAAATTGCGAGCCACGTTTTTTATCCAGGTCAAACATAGCTTAACTTTTATAGTGTTGCTTGGATGTAAACAATTTTTGGACACTTTTTAGCCAAAACAGTAACTAAAATTTTTGACCGAAAAATGGCGTTTTTCTCGGCGCGCTCTCTCCTTCAAAATTAGTAAATATTGGAGCCAAAAACACTTTTAGAAAAATTTTAAGGTTGGTCGGCCGAAAATGGATGATATAAAATAACACCAACCAAAAGGGGAACCTTTGGTTTGTGAGGAGGTCGAATCCCTAAGAAACATCCGCTAACCCCCCCCCCCCCCCCGCCCTCCTAGATCCGCTTCTGTCTCCAGGCAAATTTTTGTCTTATTAACTAGCAATTTTCGACGGATAAGAAAGTTTTGTGTATATTCTGGAACAATATGAAATCTTGAGCTAAAATTCAGTAACTGTTTCACCTATTTTTGTTTGTTTTTGCAAAGTTAAGGCGTTTGAAAATGGTAGTCTTTCCAATTTGTGATAATTAATGAGCACAAACTACCAGTTTTAGTTTAAACATAATGCAAGCCGCAACAAAACTGCTCTTATTTCAAGGCAAAGCTCTGAATGTTCTGACTGCCTTTTAACACACATCGAAAAGATTTTTGGGAAAAGAAAGCATTGAAAAAATTTAAATTTTGGACAATATCAAAGATCAAGTCAGAAAATTGAGTCGCACAAAATTATTACGACCAATTAGCTGGCCTCAATTCAATTTGGGACAATTTTTTTGAGCGGGTTAATTCACCACGAATAAATGGTACGCATTACGCTTCCACGATCATGGATAAAATCTTCGAAATGCGCATAAACTTGTCCAGAGCATGGCCAAATTGGCATTTTTCAAACTCTCAAAGCTTTGCAAAAAATGATCGGAGGTAAAACATTTTTTTAAATTTAATTTCAGTGATTTGATATCTTCAATGGGGCAAATTATTTAATGCTGCTACCTTCAAAATTTTTATTTTGATCGCCTAAAAGTGACTGCGATTTAAAAAAATCACACCTAGCCCAAATATTCCGTTTTCTTCGAAAGTTGAATCAAATATTCGGAATCAGTTATCAATTCCGAATGAAATGAGCCGAGTTGAAATTTCTCATTGCGCCGTTACTAGGAGCGTAATTTTACCTCGTCCCTAGATGAAAAGCATAATATTACCCCGTTACTAGATGGTAGATTTGAAAAATTTTTCTTATTTTTGTTTTGATCTGAATTTCCTTTTCGACTGGCCAAAAATTACTTCCGATACCATCCAGAACAGTTTGTACATTAAACGTTTTGCCATCAAAAAGCAGTCTTGTTTAATTCTACGAACAGACCACAAAATTTCTTGAACTTCACCATCACATACCCGCACTAACAAAAACGAATTAGGATTGAATTGTTTTGACCATTTTCTTGATTTGTTATATAGGGTTTTGCCATAATCTGTTTGCAAAGATGATTTTTTTAATGATTTCAATGCATATTTTCAAGCTCAAATATTTTCACCATGTTTGCAAAAAAAAAATTGATTTCAGTGAGTCCGAAAATGAAAATCCATCCAAAATCGATTTAAATTGATTTTTAGACACTCAAATCGATCCAAAACTTTTAAGAAGTCGATCAAAACTTTTTGAATCGATTTGAAATAGATTTAATTGAGATCCGGATGGATTTAATTGAGATTTGGACGAATTTTAGTTAGTCGGAAAATCCATCCAAATCGATTTAAATAGAGTTTAAAGACACTTAAACCTATCCAAAATTTTCAAGAAACATCGATTTAAGTCGATTTGAAATCTTTTTAAATTCGTAAATGTACATTGTTAATCAATTAGGATTGATTTAAAATCGATTTAAAATCAAGTTAAGTCGATCGATCCGAAACCATTTTTGTCAGTGCGGACATACTTCGTGGTGTCGCTTTACTACATGCAGTCTTGTTAATCTGTAATTAAATGTTCGAAGTGTACAAACACAGCAACAATTCTAACCAGGCAATTATTTGGGTATGGCTTCCCACAATTATTGCCTTGTTTAAGCAGACAAAAATGCACCTTTGAACTTTCACTATATCTACAGACAAAATTTTCGCTTTAAAATTTCGGCTGATATTCTGATTTAAAATATTTCAATTTTTTGTTCTGATTTTCAAAAGCGAAACTACGGAACATTTGTGCTCGGCTCAGTTTTAATTTTCTCCAGACAAGTTTTGACTTCTCAATTTTTGACGGATATGAAGATATAGTGTACAGTCTAATACTTAGATCTAAATTTCAGTATATGTTTTACCTGCTTTTTTGTGCAGGGTTATACGTTTTTGAGAATTACCCATACAAACAATATGGGATAAATAATGCGCACAAATTACTACTTTTTTTAAACCGTAGCGTAAGCGGCAAAAATAATGCGAATAAGAAGTCAATCCCAATTGAAATGAGGCGATTCAGCAGGTCGAATTGCCGCTTTACTAGTTGGGAATTATACCAGACTGATCTTGACATTTTGAGTGGTGAAATTTGTTGCTGAGTGTTTCCTCATTTTTGTTGTGTTTTAGTTTTCATCAGTTTTTGGCCAAAAACTACTTGAGATATCATTCAGGACAGTTGGAACAAGGCAGGGTTTCCCTTTCTATAGCAGTTTTCCTTAATTATACGAATAATCGGAAAAGTTTTTTCAACTTCATGTCACATATCATAATACCACGTTCTTTTTTGCCATGTATAGTGCTGATTTAAGTTTTTTTAAGTGCTGATTTAAGTGTTTTTCAGAATTATAGTGCTGATTTAATTTGCTTTCTTACTCAATCATAGATCACACTTAATCACAATATAGCTTTGTGCTACTTTTTTCAGGAGAGCGCGACTTACAAACGGCGTTTAAACGAACTCTCTTGTCTAACATTCTTCTCGAATACTGCGTCTTTCGGTTGAATCGTATGTTAATTTTGCTAATGAATAGTTCAAACATATTTAATCTATTTATTCAAAATCTATTTACCTTCAGTACAAGGAAGATGTCCCTCCGCCCTAATAAAACAAAACCAAATTATGATAACAATAAAATTTGTCAGTTTCAGATCTCAAAATGATGCGTTTTTGAATTTATATTTCAGGAAACTTGTTGAAAGGGTGAAGGAAAATCAGCTTTAATAGTAAAAGCTTGAAAAATTTTATCGGCTGTACTTACATTGTTTCCTTGATACACAAAAGCAGCAGAACTGCTATTGATAGAAACTTCATAGTACCAAAACTCTTCATATTCATTAGCTTCCAAACCGTTCGAGGCTGAAACTAGGATAAAGGAAAATGAAAAAAAGCAGATCTCTAGATGCAATTGGAACCAACACTTTGTTTTACAACGTTGTCAAGCTTTAAGTAGTGTTGAAAGTCAAGATACCACTTGAAAAACATCGGATTGAATGTAAGTAGTTTGAACACAACCACTGTATTGTAAATCTCTGCGAGGAGTTGAAAACTAAACTATATTTGAAACGGGGGCGTAGTGATTTGCCTGTTAGTCGAATAGCATACGCAAACGGATTATCCTATTTAGTTTATTTTTAGTGCGGTCTTTGATTTCAAATACGGTTTGTCAACTTTTTTTCAACATGGCATTGGCATAGAGAGAAGAGTGCTAGAGCAATAAATCGATTGAGCAATAAACCGAAAATTAACTTAAAATTGTTAGTTACGCCAACTCGCTAGGTGGCGGTCAGTGTTCATTTCAAGCCATTACAGGTCACCGTTTACGAGATGATCAGTGTTCGGTTCAAACAATCACTAGTCGAATGAATGGAAAAACAAAACGAAAAGTTTATTGTTGCGACTTTTGAAAAAGTGAGGAACATATATGCCCGAGGTGGTTTTTGATCCGATTTTCAAAGAAACTGAGGAATATATATGATCGGGGTGATTTTTTTCAGACGAATTCCCAAAAACATTTCCCTTGGGGGATCAATCCATGAATCATCGTCGTCTCAGAGGGGGCTCGCTCACCACTAGACTTTCCTCGTCCAAAGATTGATGTGAAACGCTCACAAATAGACTAATTCGACTAAGAGCGCTATGATACTTTGATTCCGAAAGTTTAACGCGCATTATTTACGAGTGGCAAATTAGCCCGCACCACAAAATCGTTTCAAGTTCAATTGAGGTAGGCTAATTGCTTTTAGTATTTCCATACTTGATTCGTAATATTTAGCTCAAAACTCATAGTTTGTCAATATTTCATTAACCAAAAACTATTTGAGATCAGTTTATGGACAGTTGGAACATTGAGGGCGTTGCCCTGATACGAGCTGTCTTGTTTTTATTGAGACCGGTTTTGGAAAAAGTGACTGCATATGGGCATCGACCCGTAAATCTTGGGATTGCCAAGCGAGTATGCTTGCACTAGACTAAAGTGCGATTTTGCTGGCTAGAATAATACTGGATAGTTGGTTTCAGTACGCGAATTATTTTTGCGTGGCAATTTATCTGCACTCATAATCGTGCCAAATTGAAGCTATTTGTTCTCATTAGTTTCCTAAAAGACTCAAATTTTAACACTTTGAGCAGATTTGTTGCTTCATCGTTTTTTTTGCTACGCGGGCCTATTGCACTTCAGCAGTTACATTGCAGCTAAGCCATGCTCAAATGCTAAACGACTCGAAGGGTAAGAACCCGGTCCCTAATTAAAAACTTTTATGCAAACAACTACTTTGGAACAATAGTGAATTATCAAAAATTTTATTAAGCATTTTTCAAAATTTTTGGTGCTATTGAACTTTTACGCTATTCAAAAAACCCAGCTTATTGGCTACTCTCTACTTATTTTTGTGAGAGAAAAATCTTGACTTTTGGTGAAAAAGCAATTCGACAGACAATTGTGAATTTGGTTTATTGGTTTTCCGACGCAATGATAAAGCATTAGATGTTACTATATAATTTTAACTAGAAATATTTATCAGAAAAATTGCTAGAAAAACTCACTAGATTCAGTTAATATCCAATTGTATACAACTTTTTAAGGAACGGTAGCATAACTTTTAAAACTTGCACAGGAAGTTCCAAGCACAATAAGAAAAATCATGTTCCTAGTTACCACAATGTGTTGAGTTTGGTTGTTGTGTGATGGGTAGAACCAAAGCCTAGAACTCACTCATGTTCGAAGGTCATAGAAAATTAAGCGTATTCGACAACATTTGTCGTCAAAAACTTGTATTTATAGTATTTAACCGTAGATTCAAAAATTGGCCAAAAAATTTAAAATTTATTTTTCTGAATTCCAAATTTAAAAAAAAAGGCGCGTAGCCGCTTAAAGAGAATAGGAGGGAGCTTCTCACAATTAATGTTTCCATTGAAGAACCAAACGTCTAAGATGTGGGTTGATAATTTTCGAGAACAATTTTTCGAAGGCTGTGGGGACTATGCAGGCAGACAGGGGAAGGGGCGGTCTCAGGCAGTTTTTTTTTGAGAAAAACTACAATTTTCAAGAAAAATGAAAGTTTTAGCAGCTGTTTATATCAAATAAGAATTGTTCGAATCAAAAAATAATCTAAGTGAACCTTTGGAAAAAAACTCCTGAAAAGCATACCAGATTATACAAATTTCATTTAGAAAACGTAAAATCAGCCGAGAAAAGTTAATATGGAAACCACAAATCCAAAAAAAATCTTTTTCATTAAATACATTTAGTTATATATATTTAGTTATTACCTCAAATGAAGTAAGAAGCAGTTTTAGTTGAACTTTCAAGAAATTGAGCAGGTTAGCTGAATTGAAGCAGAAATAACGGTTAAGAGAAGTTGTTTACGGGAAAAATACTATTACACGATAACAATGCACTTGCTTTCGCAAAATAATTTGAGCAATTATTTTGACATCAAACACGTTTTTATAAAGAAGTTTAAAGCTTGAGGAGAGAAAAAATGAAAATTGTACAAACAACCGACAATTGTTTTCTTGTCTGCAGCAAGCAAAAACAAAATGTGTTCTATTTTTGTAGGTTTCAAGTTTACTACTTGATTATACAATTTCGAAGCAATATGTCTTTGAAAGCATCATCTTGAAAAATGGCATGTGATTAAAATAGTTCAATAGTTCAATTTTATTTATATTCCGTAAGTTGTTTTCCATGCTCAATTTTGTAATTTATAAAAATTTAGTGTCAGAATTATTATTAAATAAAAAATTATTTAATAAAAACTAGCAGTTTTCAACGATAATCGTTTTTTTCTTTAAGCGATCCCCGAACATGTGTCCATTCTACCTAACAGCGGCAGCAGCGGTCCAACTCTTCTTAACTTTACTTTCATCTATGAAAGAAACTAAACAGTTTATTGTTCCGAAGTTTTGATTAAGACAGATGGTATCAAATCTAAGCCCCGAATTCGTTACTACCGTTAAATTTGACCAAAAAAAATGCAAACTTTTTCAAAGAAGAGATATAAAAACAATTTTGAAAAATTTTATTGATTTTTCAGTCTCAAGTGTTATTTAAGTCATTTTATTTGCGTCATTTACTCAAAAAGTCTAGAAAAATTAACAGCAACTTGAATTTAATCTTTAAATCTTAGACGTGAATCGAAATTCTAAAAAAATAAAAAACAGATCTCAATTCAGCCAAAATTTCTTTGAAAGCAGGGCAAAAAAAAAAATTTTTTGAGTCAAAATAGTTTGTTACTAAACGCAATCATTTTTGAAATTGTCTAACAATTTGCACCGATGAAGTTTATTTCTTCAGATGATGCTGCCTTTTAAAAAGAACCAAAACTAGCGCATTAATCTATTAAAATATTTAAGCCGAAATCATTTTTGTCGTATACATTTTTCAGCAAAAAAGAAAAGTAAAATATAGCAAGTCAAGGTTAGTAAGATTACAAATTGCAGGAGTAACTCTAATTTAAAAGTTACGAAAAAAAGTTCGTGCAGCCAAAACATCGCTTCCCCATTTCGCCACCTCCCCCCCCCCCCCCCCCTCCCCCTCCACCGTGGTAACAAAAATATGTAGCTTCCACACACTATGAAGTTTTTGTCATTTAACCTTCACTGTCAAGCTGGAAAAACACTCCTCAATCAAAACTTGATTTTCAGTTTCGAAAACGATTCCGCATTTCAGGAAAAGTGCTACTGATTTAAAGTGCAACCATTATTTCAATTTCAGTAATGGAGACAGTTTCAGTAAGGTTGATTTTATGTCGCCTGATTGAAAGTGAAATACATTTAAGTAGTCAATAAAGATGTACGAGTCTAATGCTAAGCATCTAGTTCATATTTACAAGTCACTGACTTTTTTTTGCCCACGCTCGATGGGTTTATAAAAGCTAAATTTATTTATGAGTTGGCGGAACAGACAGAAAAATTGACCTAGCCAATAGACAAAAAAAAGCTGAATTAGGTTTTTTGAAATTTCAACATTCAAATTTATAAGTATAAAATATGTGGCATTAAAGCTCTGAGTTTCAAGAACAATTTATGATTGACAAATTGTTAAAAATAATTAACTCAACCTCAAAAAACTGGATCAATAGGTAAAGATTTTATTTGATGTGTCAACGTTGCAAAATTGCTCCGTTGAACTATCACTAATGTAGCGCTTAAAATTAAAAAAGTCATATTGATCAGACTTAACAGGATTATTGGGAAATTTGATGATTTACCATTGTTTTTTCTTCAACTGCAGCTGCGTTCATCTAACTAATACTAAGCGTCCTAAAAACGGTGGCAGGAAAATCTACCCTATTCCAAACTACCCTATACCATTCTACCCTATGCCAATCTATCCTATACTAATCTGCCCTATATGCCAGTTTAGCCTGTGTCGATTTGGAGCATAATTAATGTAATGTTTCAAAGTCCTAATTAGAATTGGAAAGATAACAGCACGTGTTAATTCATTTAAATCCAAATTTTTGGACTCAATTTAAGTCTTTCAGTTAAGGAAATTGTTCTAAAGTCCAAATCGCAATTGAAGCCTCAAAATCTGCAATTTGTCTCAATTAACAATTTTAATCACCAATTTTCAATATCACGTACAAAAATGAAACCAAAACTACGTCACTATTTCAATTTTCTTTTGAATAACATTTACCAAAATGAGTCAAATTTCTTGGGTCTATCCCAACAGAATCAGAGAACGCATGTAATCGGTGGCCACGAGTTTACCAAAAAACAGGAAACAAAGAATGGAAACAAAAATTTGACTTCTTGGTGATTTGATCTTTTGATTTTAAAACACATGCATTATCCGCTAAGCTATGTCGACTTGATGTGATATGACTTTTGTTTGTTTAAATAGCCGCAACGCATTTCTAAAAAATTGGATTAAAATTTGTGTTCGTTCATGCTTTGAAATCATTTCCATTTTGAACGAGCAAATTTTACGTTGCTTTGGTATTTTGTTCACCTGCGTCAATTATTATTTGATCACAATTAATGGTTCTTTGATTTGTTCGGAAATATGCTGTTTCGGATTCTTCAAGAGGATGGGGTAGGTTTCAATTGCTTTAGTTATAGTGTAGAATGGTATAGGGTAGATTGGTATAGGGTAGATTGGTATGTAGGATAGAATAGTAAAGGGTAGATTAGCACAGGGTAGATTGGAATAGGGTAGAATGTCATGAAATCCTATAAACGATAAAAATTGATACTATTAAAATATAATCCAACAGTTTAATCAGCAAATTGTGGCCTCCGATTAAAACATCGCGAAACGTTTTTCGAAAAAGATTGAACAAAATACATCAATTACTAATCTTTACATTAGCTTGGTGAAATCAACTAAATGAGACTATAGCTGCAGCTAAACTAAGGTCTATAATCAGAATTATTAAATAGTTCATTTGGGTGTTATTTAAAAAAAAATCAATCAATACCAAAGTTAAAATTATGCTAAATCAAAGTCTGTCAAATCAGTTTTTTGCGTGCTACAAATACGATACCACTGTTGCATGCGAAGTTGTCATCTGGGCGCTTTCACGACTTTCACTTTGTCGCGATTGTATTCTTGGATTCGAACTGATTTGGGTTACATTTAAATTTCCTGCATTGGAAAACATCTGCTGAGCACCTATTAACAAAAGAACCTTTTTATAGAAAATGTTTCGGAACACGAGTAACAAACATACCGATCATTGTTTTTCGAATTTTGTTTTCGACTTTCAGTCCAAACTACAACGCCATGAAACATACATATCTGCTACTCACAGTCACAGGCATTCCCTAATCTTTAACCGGAAACATAGCCAACTGAGAGTTTGAAAAGTGTCAGTGAGCGCAAGGACACCAAAAAAATGATAAACATTTTTTTCGAAACATTTCATACTTTGAAATTTCAAAGCATATATGGCCCCAAAAGTCTTTGAATATCAAAAAAAAATTCCGATTAAAAACACTTTCTTGATTTAAAAACTCAATGTGAGAAAACGAACATAGCCGGAACATAGTTGGAAAAGAGTCAAGGCACGCAAGTAAATAGAAAAAAAACTAACTTGTTTTTAAAAAAATCTAAAATCCAAAGAACCAAAGAATCTTCTTGAAATTCTAGAACAATTTATTATTGAATTTTTTTTTGATAAATTTAACCCAATTATCATCATCATTTACAGACTACAATAATATGACATTAAAAATATATAGGCTATTTCGATCTCGAGCGATCGGGTACACAATCCTAACCACACGAAAAAAGTTTGCGGGCCCGAAATCGTTTGGTGTCGCAAAAAATTCACCTGTTGTCGAAGGTTGTTGTTGTTCAGCAGCAGCCGTAGCTGTATTAGACAAGAGAGAGTTTGTCTTGGAGTGTTCTTGTTGAGCGACCTCTGTGGAGATATCTGCGATCAGTTTATGACTCAGAGACGCAAGCTGGGTCCTCAGTCTGGCACTGTTCGCCCCAATCGAATCTATCTGGTCCAGCCATTTAGTCTCGTCGTCCAGCATCACACACGCAAAAGACGAAGCATCTGGCTGGCCTGAAAAAAAGTAGCTTGATAATACTAGAGAAAACAACTTCGCTGAAAACAAAACAAATTTGAAGGAGATGAAATTATTCTACATCTTGCACTTAATACTTAACGTAGCATTCGTCCGGTTTCAAATCAAATATCGACAGGGTTTAATGATTTCTCAACATGACATCAATGAAAGGTCACAAAAAACGTACAATTCACATGGTTGAAACTTCTATATAAACTAATTTGCTTTCGCTGTGTCACTCTTAGTTTTGATTAAGAAAATTTGTTCAGAAAAAATGAAATTCAATTTTGCCCTCATTAAATGAAAAAGAAGAATATCACTTGCAGCTAATTGTTTTAAAATGCAATAAGATTCAGAACTAATTAATATAAAAGTGAGGGTAAGTTGTGCTGTGTTTTGGTGTTCAAGTATTTTTTTATCGTGGTTCGCCTGAGAAATAATTCTATGCGTGCTTCAATTAATTTGATATATACCTAAGATAATTTAAAATTAGGGCGTCGGAATTACCTTTTTTACCGACAAATTTGAGTTTATAATACAAACCACTTGTTCTCACAAGCGTAACACATAGGCGAAGCTGCGCTTCGCAAACACTAGCAAGAACACGACAAAAAAGCAGCTCTATAAAGCGAAGCAAACAAAAAATAGAAATAAGCCTCGAATCAGTAGAAATTTGAAACGTATTGGCTTCGAACCGACAATTGGAGTCTAACGCCCTGTCCTGATCTCTTGGCCATGAACGCTCAACAATCAGAACAAAACTGGTCTCAAATAAAGCAGCTACATATGCTAACAAATTGCCAATGTTATGCAGCAAAAGTGGCACCAAATACAAATAGACACAATTTTGCCAGTAAAAGTTTGGAATATAACAAACTGTAGGCATCCACACTAAATCGAATTTTTTTTAAATATTGTTACGATGTTCGAAACAAATAGCTTTTTTCGGTTCTTTTGATGAATTAAAAATGCATCACCTGTGTTAACTTATTACTATTCGGATGTCTAAGCAGATGCTATCAAAAATCAGGAAAGATGCCACCAAAATAAGCATCAAAATTTGCGACTTAGGTTAGAATAAAACAAAAGTCGTACTGTAACACTTACGCTTAATAAAATTCGCTTGTGTAATGATTAATTAAATGATATCCAGAGGTGCCACTAACTTTGGTAAGAATTTTCTCTTCAATCATTTTATCAAAAACAGAGCATGAAGCAAACATTAGCGATAAAACGACAAAAACAGCTTTAAAAAGTGAAATAAAAAATGAAAAAGCTATGATTTTTTTTAAAAATCTTTGCTATTTGTACTACGAGCCCTTGAAAGTTTTCTATATCTAGCCACCAAACGAGTTTCACCTTAAACACTTTCGGGAGTTTCAAAGAAAAATGAAAATATCACTTTAACACAGAAGCGAAGTTGCACTTCGCATGCACAAGCAAAAATATGACCGATAACGCTACTGGGAAACACTGAATGAATAAAACTTTGAGTCTAGAAAAATTCTTAAGTGACGCACTCCAATTATGGCGCATTAGCAGCACCAGTCAATTGGGGAAAAAAGAAATTAATCAACTAACATGCCTCAATTTATAGAGCGGACGCATTTTAATCAGTATAAGAAAAAGTTTATTAAAAACATCCGACCCTGCCCAGGTTCGAACCCTCTTTTATTGTTGTGGGTCTCCTTCCCTACCTCTACGCTACAGATCCATGATACTTTGAAGCTAAAGTGCTATTTGTTTTAATACTCTTAGCATTGGCTGTACTTAATAGTTGGTTATTGATCAAAATGAACATTTTCAAAATGAACACATTTTGTCGCAACATTAGCGCCGCAACAATATTTGCGACTTCGGTTGGAAAAAAAAACAGTTCATACTATAACACAAGCTTTGTTTTGTAAAAATGGTCTGAATAAACACACCAACCAAGCATATAACTACTCGGGGTGGTTTATTTTATTCAGACCATTTTTAAGATGATATTCTTATTTTTCTTTGAAACTCCCGAAAGTGTTTAAGGTACCGGAAAAAAAAACAACCATTTCTTCAGTTTCCTAAAGTTTAGTGTTTCATTTCCAACTGTTTGTTGGCTTCATTTTTTAGGTAAGGTATTCTTGAACCAAGTGAGGATTGGTTATGCCATCAGAAGTCTCATTTGTTTTCCTTTCATTTCTCATAGTTTATATACCTCGCTGATCTATACCTGACTTTTTCGATTGAAAGTCGGGAAAATTAAGAATTTGACAGAACTAGATAACACGGCTGTTCATTCACTCTATTTGATATATTTGCAGTTCAAGATTTAATATTTAATTCAGTTGCGGTTCATGATTTAAGATAACGATTTTCGCCTCGACATCTTTGTCGACTAATTAACTACATTGCGACACCGGTGTTGCGATCTTTTAATTAACAGAAAAATTTTTCCGCCGATAAACTTAGTCAGCAAGTATTTCGGAAAAAACGTTAATCAACTCAAGGAGACTATTTTTTTATTTGGAGTTTCATAGAACACATTCCTTGAATCTCTTTCATTATGCAGAAACTTTAATGGTTAACATTTTTAGGAAAAAAATTTTCATTTGAAGGCTAAGCAAGCTGAAAATTCGTACAGATTTCAATTATCAACTTTACTTGGTATGAAAATATCATCATTCATCAAGACAACATTTTAGAGCAAACTCGTTACTGATTTCAAAGTGTGAAAAAAAATCAGTAACCATTTCTGACTTAAATTTTTCCAGTAGAATACTTTACCTTGGGTCTTCTTATTGACTCGAAAATTCCATATCATGGCCATCAATATCAGTCTGTCAGCTGCCACTTCGACCCATTGGTCATTTTCTGTCACTTCAGTGAAATCGACACCCATATTTCCAACAGAAGAGGATCTAAATTTAGTCAAGTCAAAGTCATGACATGTATAGGCAGCACCTTTCAATCAGCGTCTTCTCTCTTTTCTCCAGATATCATTAGCCCTTTTTACTTCGCTTTGTTATTTTATCCGATATCATTAAACCTTTAACACCGCTTTGTATTTTAATGAAAGTGCAATGCAATTAGTTTTAAAATTCCAGAGATGATGCTGGTCTAAAAGATCAATTATTTTATAAGATATGAAGTGCAACTGCTTCGCGTCTATTAAATACTAAAATATTAAGATAAAGCAATTCACAAGCAACTTTTGATGCTTTCCATGCGGAGAAAAATTATCCCGAAACTCTTTAAAAGCTCTTATATAGAAGTTCCATCCTATTTAGCTGGTATCTGTACAAAAATCGAAGAGAGCGCTGAAAACGCGTTAATAAACTCAAGAACAGCTGCTCATAATCATGCCAAAAAAAAGTTAAGGTTAGACCACACTTTACGGTTTGATAAAAAAAAGTACTTCTGCCTCTGCGAGCTCCCCCTCTTCAAATTATGTTTATATCGACATAGCAGGCGCCATCATATACTTAAACAGCTGACAAAAAACGAAGGGCACTAACCTGAAACATCGTACAATGTTGCCAGCAAAAACGAAGTCTTGAGTGGTGGGCGAATCTCCTCCCAACAATTTGTTTAGTATTTCCATGCAATTATCTCCTTGGCTGCTCTGAATACTGCTAACGGTAGCTGTTCTTGCATGCGAGGGGGAAGTATTGGACAAACTTGTCGTATCATTGCTCGTCCTCGAGAACTCAGCAAACATCCTCAGACTGCGAGACACGTCTACTGTCTGATCATAGAAACAGCAGTCATCATCAGACTGAGTATAAAGTTCAAACAAAAAAGGGCAATGAACTGTGAATAACTCATGTTCAGTTTCCCCAACTACATTCAGTATTTCTCGGACAATTTTGACTTCGACAAAGATCTGCTCTAGCCATTTCAATTTAAATGAAAGTCGAAATTATAAGATCAAGTAACATAACCGGTTCGAAAAGTGTCAATAAACGCAAAGACAGTGAAAAAACGATTGAATTTTTTCAATTTTCGAGTTTCAACTACGTTTATAGACTCCACATAAAGTATTGCTTTAATTGTGGATTTCATCTAAACATATTTCATTTGGCATTTTTGCGGCCCGGCGAGTTGTCAACATTAGATTCCGGAAGGTTAAAAACAGATTGAACAACATACAAACAATTGATAGGCTCTTTAAAATAAAAATAAAAACAGTTCATCGTCAATGTACAGTCTTCACTCTAAATTCGTAGAAAAATTCTATATAAAAATATATTTAAGAGTATACATAAAAAGTCCAAAAATATATATAAACCACCAGTTTTCAATTAGAACAAAAATTGAATAGATCAAATCACTACAGAAAGGTCTTCATTATGATGATACATATTTTAGTCGTGATTGACTTTGTGTGAAAAAAAACAACCCCGGAGTGAAATTCGCACCCAAATCGTGGTAGAACCAATTATCACTAATAAGGGGATTGGGCATGAGAGCAAACCAAAATACAAAAACTCAATACATAAAATCTAATTTTAATCAGAACTTTATTGCAGCAACATAAGCTAATCAAAAAATGACTCTCTTTCACCATTGATTAACTTTTTGCTACAACTGGCCAAGAAAAAAACATAGCCAACAGACAGTTGGAAAAGAGTCAATGAAAGCAAGTGAATAGAAAAAAAATGGAGCAAATTTTTGAAAAATCTCTGATTTCGATTTTGCGACAAAAAATGAAGGCCTCAGAGCTCTTTGAACTTCTAGAACAATTTATGATTGATAAAACTAACCCAACGTGAGAAAACAGGATCAAGAGGTTAACTTTTTTTATTCACTAGAAAATCGATAATTGAATTCCATTTTCGAAAGTATAAATGTCGATGACGTTTTTGGTGAAATTTACACAATCGCTGTTCGATAGTTGAAATGCACTGCTTGAAAAAAAAATCAGAAGTGAAACCGCAAAAAAACAAATTTGAGCCTGAACAAATTTAAAGCCTTTTCCCGAAAAAATCATCGCGACCTATTTTAGAGTCTGAACAACTCTTGAAAACAAAAAAAAGTTTAAGCAAATTGAAAACTTGTTGCATACAATGGAAAATAAAGGACTATGATTACAAGCAAATGAAAAGACAAAACTGAAAATAAATTTAAAAATGCTAAAAAATCGAACCTTTCTGCTGGACATAAATTAGCAGCCACAATAGTGTAAAAATTCGAAAATTTTTGGTTTCCACAAAAAAACAGGTCCCGATTGGAATTGAACTTCAGGGATTTGTCTTCTCAACCATGGGCGTTACTACAGCACCAGATCCACAGAACACTCCTTGAATTTATGAAGAAAAACCTTCCAAAAACTTAAAATGAACAGCATAAAAAACAATTCAAAATAGCGAAAAATAGGTAAAACTACTTGGAACTCAATTTATTGCCCAAAAACCGGAATACACTGAACTGTTTTTGAATTAGAGTAAAAATGCCCAAATTTTAGGCGAAGTTGGTGCTGCGGCAACCAAGTCGACAAAAAAGCAGACAAACAGAAATCCACTTTCAAAAAAAAACTGGTCCTGACTGGATTCGAACCACTGACCTTTGTCTTTATAAGCTGATGCGAAAAAAGTCTATATTCCAGTTTGATAACGCTTAATAATCGATACACTTTAGGACAAACTTATACACGAGCCAAAAACAGAGCATGATAATATTGGCACAGAGACGAAGCTGTGCTTCGCAAACACTTGCGAGAACACGACGAAAAACAGCTCTATAAAACGCAATAAGAAGAATTAAAATAAAACCTCGAATTAGTAAAAAAAAAATTAGATTGAATGCTAGAGATCAGATGCTATGAAATTTCCAATGCTACAAATCATGCTTATAACAAAAGTACCACCAAATGAGTGAAACTTTTTAATGAAGACTTTCATTTGCGAGTTAGGTAAAGAAAAAAGAAGGTTCGCATTAATACACTAACGCTTGCTAGTGTAATGAAATGACTCGGATAAGTTTTCAGAAATTTTAGTTTATGCACAGAACTAAAAGTAATTTTCAAAGCATAGACTGTTTAGGGAACTAAAAACAGTTGATTTTGTGCTATTTGACTACCATGACTTAAACTTATGAAGTGTACGCACAAATTCAATTGTATATTGCGTACGCAGTAAAGTGATATTTTCATTTGCGCGTTTGTTGTTGTTTACAGGAATGTCTGTCTATTGACTGATTTGCTATTACTTGCTAATCACAAGTACAAAATTACACTCCTAAAAAGCAAAACAGTTCATATTTCTATGTAAGTACACACCCATAAACAAGGACAGCCGGTGCGAGGCTTGTAGAAAAAAATCTTATGACCACAATCACTGAAGCAGAGAAACAAAATCATTTTTAAACTAAATTTCCTCTTCAATGAGACGATGTAATAGCTAAACTAATGAGTAAATCTCTAGAGATTCAAATTCAAAATTCAATTATAAATGACTCTCATCGTGCCATTTATAGATTGTGTGTCAAATAGTCTGAACACGTATTTTTCTCGACAGAGCCAAATTTGTATTTTTTTTTAAAATCCGAATTTTGACCGAAAGACCTTTAATATACTACACTTGAACGGAAAACTTTAGGTACCAGAAATTGTTCGGAAAAAAACATATTGGTCGGACGTCAAAATATTCAAAATGTATCACGTTAAAGATCTTTTAAGTTCATGATTTGTATGTGATGAGAACTTTTTACATAAAATAAGCAATTAAGGTTGAAATCTGTCATCCATCTTCAATGCGACCTAAGTAGCACGCGTGCAACTAACTGACCTTGTTGGTGTTTGACATTGCAGGCGCTTGTGCGTTGGCCTCCAGCACAGTGTTGTAAAGTTTGTCAATCTGGTTGAACAACAAGCTAATCTGCATGTGGCTCCTCACTAGACCCTCTGCTAACTCGACACACAGCCTCCGTCGCTGCACTTCCTCCCCCTCCCTTGCAGCAATGGCCCCTCCTTCCTCTCTTTCACTAGTGCCGCTTCTGTTCACATGCTCAATACTAGACTGCAGCTCACGCAGTTGGCCAAAGCTCTAAAAATTCAATTATACCAAGGAGGCGAGAAACCCTTCACAAACTTATAAAAATAGCTTAAAAAAATATTAACAGGCACTTGAATTCGAGTATCAAACATGATCTTTTCACAAGAAAAAACACACTACGAACGTCTTAACTTGTTTATCCATCCGCCCTGGTTGATTCAGAGGCAAACGACAAAAAATTCTGCAGCGAATTATTTAGTGGAAGGAAACCAAATTGGTAAAAAACTTTTTTCAAGAATTCAAAAAAAATTTGACCAATCTGCCCCCAACCCACCGCCTATACTCAATCTGCTGAGAGATTGAAGCAATCAATAACGATTTGAGAAATTTAACACAAAGGCAAAGCAGAGCTTCGCACCACTTGCGATACAACACAAATATAAAACATAAGTTAAAAAAATGTGAAAAGTTGAACATAGGCGACTGACAGTGGGAAAAGAGTAATAAATTCAAGTAAACAGAACAAAAACACTGACTTTGTTGAAAAAATCTCTCGAATTTCGAAGAAAAAAATAAATGCCCCTTTAAGCTCTGTGAGTTTCTTCAACATTTTATGATTGGCGCTTTTTTTGATAAGTTTAAACCAACTTGAGAAAACTGGATCAATAGGTAAAGTTTTGATTCCACTGGAAATCTCAAAATTAAATTCCACTTCTGAAACTCGAAATTGTCCACGTTTTTTGCGCCATTTCCACCTTCGTATTTGGAGAGCGCTAACTAAAGTAACTTTCAGCAGATGAACTTCAACTGAACTCAAAGTGTATATATACCTAAGTACATTCATAAATGCATTAATATTTATGAATGCACATCGTAATTATTAGAGCATTTTAAGACTCTCAACAAAGGCCAAACAATGGTTGCAAAAATTCACACAGAGGCGAAGCTGTGCTTCGCAAACACTTGTGAGAACACGACCAAAAAGCAGTTCTATCTAGTGAAATAAGAAAAAGTAGAAATAGGCCTCGAATTAGCAAAAACTCGGCAACGTGTTGGATTCGAATCTGCGACCTACCAAATTTGAGTCTCACTCACTAACCACTCAGCGACGGATGCCTAAAATCCCCAAAAACTAGCCACCAATAATGCAGCTATATATGCTAAGAAATTGCCAATTCGATGCAGCAAACGTAGCACCAAATACAAAAAGACACATTTTTGCATGTAATAAATTGGAAAGCATAAAGCCAAATTATCTTAAAAGTCGAAAGTCGAGGCCGCTTGACCAGAGAAAATTCCCAAAACCAGCCATCACGATCGAACACTTAACTTAGGAAACTGCAGGGTAGTTTACGAGAAAATTTAAAGTTTCCAAACAACGATCATTAAAGCAAAAATTTGACTTTTCCGAGAATCATCCCTTTTGTTGAAAAATTTCTGGCTGTAACCACTTATGCGGAAAAAAAGATTAACACAGCCTGTTGTTTCTATTGAACTGAAAAACTCAGATTTGGGCAGGTAGTTTTCAAGAAAAATCAAAACGAATCAAAACACAGTCAAAAATCCAAATATTTGACTATTCCGAGGCCAAGAACTTTCTATATATAACAATTGAAAGTAGCTACTTCTGCAGGGAAGCTTCCTCAACACATTCTTTTCAATCAACTCAAATCTTAGATTTGGGAGAGTAGATTTTGAGAAAAAAACCCAAAGATATGGGTCAAACTTCCCCGATCGCACACATTTTCATAATCACTGATTTTGTGAAACAGAAATTGTTGTGGCCATCGAAACTATCAATAAAAGTTAACCAAGCCAATACAACTTCAGCCGAAAGTATTTGTTCGAAAAAAATCTTAAAAAAAACAAAAACTTTTAAAATCAGACATGATAAAATGACAAATTACAGAACTTTCAATTATAGAAAAATATATTTAGAACCAAAATAAAATCCATGCTTTACAAATAAGGACGATAAAAATTCAAACTGAATAACGTAACTGCCACTTAAGCAAAAAATGAACCGACGTAAACTAACCCGAAAACCAGAAATCCGAAAAAAAAATCAACATTTATTCAAGTTATTTATTTTAAAAAATAATAAATGCCCGAAACATACTCCATCTAATTGCTACCTAGATTATGTTGTTTTATCTGAATTTTCAGAAAATGAGCATGTTTTGAAATTTACTATACCTATAAAATTGACTATTCTGTGAACAAAAAATTTACGGGCAAAAAATCAAGTACCCGATTGCAATACCCTTGCTTTTCGCAAGCTTAACAAGTATTGCAGACACTGTTTGAGGAAACACATCAAAAACCGACAGTTGTTATCAAGCTTAACAATCTACACGACTTTATGAACGACAAATGCCCGGTTGAAACATCCACTTCATCTGAAAAACTCAAGTTAAAACGAATTTAATAAACATAGACTTTCAAAATTCAGAAAAAAAGTAGATACCCTTAAATCTCTTTGAATTTCTAGAGCAATTTATGATTGACACTTTTTTGATAAAATTAACCCAATTTCAGAAAACTGAGCCAATAAGTAAAACTTTTCTTTCGCTGGGAAACCCGAACTTCAAATTAAATCAAAAACCAAAACGCAAAAAAGTAAATTTGAGCCTGAAGAAATTTTAGGACTTTTCCTGAAAAAAATCATCGCGGCCTATGAAAGAAATTGACTACGTTCATTGACTCTCAACAAAGGCCAAACAATGGTTGCAAAAATTCACACAGAGGCGAAGCTGTGCTTCGCAAACACTTGTGAGAACACGACCAAAAAGCAGTTCTATCTAGTGAAATAAGAAAAAGTAGAAATAGGCCTCGAATTAGCAAAAACTCGGCAACGTGTTGGATTCGAATCTGCGACCTACCAAATTTGAGTCTCACTCACTAACCACTCAGCCACGGATGCCTAAAATCCCCAAAAACTAGCCACCAATAATGCAGCTATATATGCTAAGAAATTGCCAATTCGATGCAGCAAACGTAGCACCAAATACAAAAAGACACATTTTTGCATGTAATAAATTGGAAAGCATAAAGCCAAATTATGTATAAATTATGCATTGCAAAAAAATGGAAGATGCATTGAGTTTGAAAATTTCTCAAATCGAGCCTTTTATCTTTGTACTGTTGTTTGAAACAATTAACTTTTTTCGGTTCATTTGATGAACTGAAAATGCATCAGCTGTGTTAACTTTTTACTGATCAAATGTCGCAGCAAATATGATATTATACTGCTACCGCAGCCTACCGATTCAAAAGTTCCACCAAAAGTAGGTCTTTTACTTGCGACTTAGATTGAAAAAAAAACAAAGTTCGTTCTTATACACTTAGCTTCGCAAGTGTAAATACAAAATGACACTTGAGGAAACCGAAAACAAAATGACACTTAATTTTGAAAAAAAAACTTACTTAATTTAAAAAAAACGAACTTTAAAGAAGAAAATACATGGCCTTAAGCTCTTATGTTGATACTTTTTTCATAAAATAACCCAACTTGCGACAACTGGATCAATGGGTAAAAGTTTTAACCTTCCTTTCACCAAAAGAATGGAGTTTGCCTTGCTTTCACCAAAAGAATTGAACTGAACTTAAAAAGCAATCAAAAATCGAACACCAAACACTTAAATTGGAGCTTGAAGACTTCTTCCAAAAGAAAAAAATATATCATGATGACGTTTAAAAAAGGTCTGCACTATACTCATTGATTCTTAAAAAACATGAAACAAAAATCTTGCAACCTTCAACACGGAACTTCTTGAACTCAAAGCCAAATTGCGCTAAGAAAAATTGATAGCCGTTTTCTGTGCCAGTGGTACAGAATGTTCCGAGCACAATGATTAAAAAAAGATACTTGAAAAGAAAACATTTTACAAAGAGGCGAAGTTGCACCTCGCATACACAAGCAAAAATTGACCGGTAACGCTACTGGGAAAAACTGAATGAGTAAAACTTTGGTTATAATTCTTATATCACCTAAAAAATAAAACCCTTTTTTGACCCTTAGAAAGTCCTTCACATTTTATTCGCGCTCTTCCTGCATTTTTATTAGAGAACGTAATTTTCATCCTCTTTAGCAAATAAACTTGAATTAAACCTAAGCAAGAAATTCAAGGTCCAACCACTTAAATTAAAATTTGAGCGTGATCAAGTTTTAAGACTTTCTTCTGATCATCACGATTTACAATTTACAAGTCTTCACTACACTCATTGGCGCTAAACAGTTTGTAAAAATGATGAACTGAACTTAAAAAGCAATCAAAAATCGAACACCAAACACTTAAATTGGAGCTTGAAGACTTCTTCCAAAAGAAAAAAATATATCATGATGACGTTTAAAAAAGGTCTGCACTATACTCATTGATTCTTAAAAAACATGAAGCAAAAATCTTGCAACCTTCAACACGGAACTTCTTGAACTCAAAGCCAAATTGCGCTAAGAAAAATTGATAGCCGTTTTCTGTGCCAGTGGTACAGAATGTTCCGAGCACAATGATTAAAAAAAGATACTTGAAAAGAAAACATTTTACAAAGAGGCGAAGTTGCACCTCGCATACACAAGCAAAAATTGACCGGTAACGCTACTGGGAAAAACTGAATGAGTAAAACTTTGGTTATAATTCTTATATCACCTAAAAAACAAAACCCTTTTTTGACCCTTAGAAAGTCCTTCACATTTTATTCGCGCTCTTCCTGCATTTTAATTAGAGAACGTAATTTTCATCCTCTTTAGCAAATAAACTTGAATTAAACCTAAGCAAGAAATTCAAGGTCCAACCACTTAAATTAAAATTTGAGCGTGATCAAGTTTTAAGACTTTCTTCTGATCATCACGATTTACAATTTACAAGTCTTCACTACACTCATTGGCGCTAAACAGTTTGTAAAAATGATGAACTGAACTTAAAAAGCAATCAAAAATCGAACACCAAACACTTAAATTGGAGCTTGAAGACTTCTTCAAAAAGAAAAAAATATATCATGATGACGTTTAAAAAAGGTCTGCACTATACTCATTGATTCTTTAAAAAAATGAA